ATGCGCCACTTCGATAAAGCGGCACGACACGAGAACCCTCTCATCGTGGCCGCCGGTAACTACATTCCCGATCCTGCGGACAGAATGGAAAGCAGTCGACGTCGCCCAAAACACGTCATCTCGGATCCTCCCGATCCACTAACGGTGCTTTTAGGTACTTCAAGCACCGGTCACCGTTCTCGTCGAATCCGTCGCTTGCGACGAAGGGCTCGACGAGTAAATTAACTCTCAGACACAGCCCACTGAGTTTCTCGCCGGATCTTCTCAGTGGGTCGCGTTTCCGATCCGGTGGTAGATTCTGCGAAGCACGGCTCTTGCTAGGGTTCGTGTTAGCAACGTCATCAGGTTTGAGCCCCGTGAGCTCATCTACTAAAGTTAGGGTTACGCTGACATAGCCTCTCAAGGCTATCAGCTTAGGTAGGAAAAAAAAAAAAAAAAATAGTTACAACGGCTGCCCCACCCTTCAAACCGAAACGCTTTACTGCTTCACGGCAGAAATAAAAAGTAATTCCTAATATTCTTAATCTCAAGTTCTGAGTTCGTTATTAGGATTCGATTAATGTGATCGATGGATCATTATTTCAATGATTAGGATAAGGCATTTAGGGATTGTGTGATACGTTGGAACGTGTGAGTGAGTGAGTTAGCCCAGGAACAGGTGGGAGCATATGCTGAACATTCCGATTTTATGTTTTAAGGTTTTAAGGTTTTTTTTTTCTATTGCCCTTGTAGGCAGACGAGCACACGGCCCACCTGATGGTGAGTTGTTACCGTCGCCCATGGACTTCAGCAATGCCAGGGGCAGAGCCAAGCCGCTGCCTACCGCTTAATACTCTTAAATACTCTCCACAAGCCTCGTTTGAAGAAGGTCATGTCATAGCGCTGGGGAAGACCGCGGAGGGGAGCTCATTCCATAGCCGGATGGTATGTGGCAAAAAAGACCTCTGGAAACGCACTGTGGATGACCGCAGTGGCTCCAGGTAGTATGGATGAACTCTACTCCGGTGGCGGGCAGTGTGATGGTAAAAACGAGATGACGGTATCATCTCGAACAATTCCTCAGAGCACAGGTGTATCCTAATGTCGTAAAATACCTAATACTCGGATCTGTTCTTATAAATCCGACTCGTCTCTATGCAAGACTCACTCGAGGGCATTTTGATTCCTCAGAAACGTTCGTGAGTCCAAACATAGAATTGTCCTTATACGTCTCCGAGTTGAACGACACACGCTTCTATTTCAGACTCTTAACATAATTATATATAAAGACACAAAAAGAAACGCGTTTGTCCGTCTGCCTTAAGTACGGCACAGATATAATGCGGCTGTAAATGGATCGTGTAAAGGAAAGTGAGAAAGTAATTAAATTTTCTTATTTTTGGATTTAAATACTTCTAAGTGTACTTTTTGATTACTTCATTAGTCTCGAAAGACTTTTGAGAAAAATACCCATTTCCACTATCGTAGTAGTTATGTGACAATTTTCTTTGTATATAGGTTGGTACAATATACATGTAATTATGTCCTCATTGTAGAACGTATTATAGTCCCATGTTCTTTTAAGTATCACTATTCTACCTATTTCTATCTACAACCTGGTTACAAATAGAATTAAAAAAGAAAAAAAAAAAAAAAAAACGAATTGAATTTCGAAGTCTGTTGTCCTCATATAAATATTGTATTTTCAAGATGAAGTTACTATGTCGCCTTTGGCTGACTCGACTCTGGCTAAAATAAGCTTCCGAATGAAGTTTGATCGCCATATTGAAGAAAAAAAAAAAAAAAAAATTGTATTTTCGCGCAAATCTTTGTCAATCTTAAATATTTTTTTGTAAAATTAAAATTAAGTTTACGAGCTAAGAGCTGTAACGACTATTATTCAACCGATAATATGAAAATGAATAGAGTGATGAAATCAAAATACATTTTTAAACGGTATACTGTGTATGCTTCCCAAATTTTTACTCATTAGCTTTTAACAAAATTGAATAAGCTGAATGTTTCAAATTTACTAAAAATTAAGCGCATAGCTAAGCGCAATTTTTATTCAAGTAAGAACATGCTGAAATGCTAGAATTTTATAGTATCTTCACTTATGTGCCATGTCTCTGGCAAATGTATCATTTGAATTGAATTAAATTGAAGTTTCTCAACTGGTCAGTAGGGTGCAATGTGGGCTTTATTCACCTTCAGTGATGCTTTCGTGGGGTCTTAGCTTATTAGTGACCAAGGCGTGATCGAGCCGCATTTTTTCTGAAAAAGGTATCAAAACGGCGGTCACCATGTGTTAAGGCTTAACAAAACCGTGCTCCTTAACCAAGGATTGTCCTTTCAGGAACTCTCGACATGGCGTCATAATACGTCTCGGTTCACACAAGCGTTACCGAAAAAGAACGTGTTTTTTTTATTGCTTGGAAGGGTGGACGAGCTCACAGCCCACCTGGTGTTAAGTGGTTAAAGGAACCCATAGACATCTACAACGTAAATGCCGCCACCCACCTTAAGATATGACTTGTAAGGTCTCAGTATAGTTACAATGGCTGCCCCCCCTTCAAAACGAAACCAATTACTGCTTCACGGAAAAAATAATCAGGGCGGTGGTACAAGACGTCCTACCACCAGTCAAAATAACATCTGACCATTAAAATCTGACCCTCCACTAAAGTATTTGTTTAAAAGTAAACAAATACATTACTTCGAATCGCGAACAAGACATTCGGCCACCGAAAACTATGAATATTAGATATACATAAAACAGAATCTTGGCAATATACACATTTAATTAAATTTATTAATTTAGCCGTCTGGTTTGATTATCTCAGAGCGAGAGAAAACACAATTTTATCCGTCCCTAATACATTAATTATGCAATTACAATAAATTAAAGTAATTTGTAAGCGTTTTTAATGTAAAATGATGTTAAAAAGCTATGTATGCTATAAATTTGTGCGAGTGTGTGAAGTTTGGTAACCATAGACATCGAAATTTCCATAGATTGGAAGTGAATTCTTCTCGGGCGACGTTTGAAAGGAGTTCTCAACGGGAAGCAGCAGTTTGGCCGTTCCCCAAGCATCGCTGATGTCCTTGAGCGACGATGAACATCAGGTGGGACATATGCCCGTCCGTTTTAGACATGTAAAAAATCCTGAAAGCGTGATGTGAACTTAATGCCTCTTTTTCTTTTTCTCCGCCTTATTCCACTAAGTGGGATCGGCGGGTGTTGGCGTAGGCAGTTCGAAGGGTGGGGCGCTAGATGTACTGTAGAGCTGAGATTTG